GGATGTAAACTGCACTTCAGCGTGTGGGAGAGGGTCTGATGGGTTGCGACCCCCCCAAAGCCTTGGTAAAAGGCTCCCAGCCAGGGGGCTTTTGAGGGGCGACCTCTTCGATGGCCGAATGCCCCTCCGCCCCAAATTCTCGGCGAATTTGACGCACCTGAGGCCTGGGGTAGTCAAAAGATGTTAACCCCCCGACCGTACTGCCCTTGGGGGAACGTATGGGGAAAGGCGGTCCCTTAGGTATGCCGGACCCTGACCATAAAGGTCTTTAAAGGTAAGAACTAGCACTTTGAAGCGGATCCAGTATGCTATTGGCAGCCAGTGCAGTGCCTTCAGCACAGGACGGATGTGGTCCCACCTAGGGAGACCCATCAACAGCCTGGCTGCTGCATTCTGCACTAGCTGCAGCTTCCGGATTTGCGACAAAGGCAGCCCCAAGTAGAGAGCATGACAGTAGTCCAGCCTCAAGGTCACCGTCGCATGGATCACTGTAGCTAGGTCATCACAGTCAAGGAAGGGAACCAATTCCCGTGCCAGCCAAAGATGATAAAAGGCCGACTTGGCAGTGGCTGCTACCTGGGCCTCCATCGTTAAAGAGGAGTCCAGGAGCACTCCCAAACTCCTAACCTCCAATGCTGGCACTAAAGGTGCCACATCAAAGGTCAGGAGAGGGAGTCCCAACCCTGAACCGCCCCAACCTAGGCCCAGGACCTCCGTCTTCGCCGGGTTTAGTTTCAGCCGACTCAGTCTGAGCCAACCAGCCACGGTTTGCAACGGCCGTTGAAGGTCATCTGGGTTGGAGTTCAACCGGCCGCCCAGCATCAGATAGAGCTGGGTGTCATCCGCATATTGATGACACCCAAGCCCATACCTCTGGGCAATCTGGGCAAGGGGGCGCATGTAGATGTTAGCATTGGGGACAGCACTGCCCCCTGAGGCACGCCACAATCAAGAGGGTGCCTCTGGGACCGCTGCTCCCCTATCACCACCCTTTGTCCCTGACCTTGGAGAAAAGAGGCAAACCATTGAAGGGCGAGCCCCTGAATCCCCGCATCAGCGAGGCGGTGGGTCAGCAACTGGTGGTCGACCGTATCAAATGCGGCTGACAGATCGAGCAACAACAGTGCTGCCACACCACCTCGATCCAGATGCCTTCCGAGGTCGTCAGTCAGGGCGACCAATGCCGTCTCCGTCCCATGACCCGTGCAAAAGCTGGACTGGAAGGGGTCTAAGACTGAAGCATCCTCCAGAAAACGTTGTAGCTGTATCGCCACCGCCCTCTCAATACGTTTGTCTAAATAGGGCAAATTGGACACTGGCCGACAGTTGGCCAATTCGGTTGGGTCCAGAGATGGTTTTTTCAAGAGAGGGCTGACCATCACTTCCTTAAGTGCCCCAGGGAACAGCCCCTCCAAGAGGGACTTGTTAATAATCTCCCGTAGGGCACCTCGAACCCCCTCGTGGCCCGCCTTAATGAGCCAGGAGGGGCACGGATCAAGGTCGCACGTGGTTGGACCTTGGTTGGATATGAGCAGTCTGTCAACTTTGTCCAGGCTGCGTAGGCTGAAATGTTCTAAACCCGGAATCGAAGGTGTGCAAGGGGCCTTGAGTTCCCTCACTGTTTCATTTGGGGCGGGGAGATCTTGGCGGAGCGCCAGGACTTTATCTGCGAAATAGCTCACAAATGCCTCACAGCCAATATCCAATTCCCTAACGTTTTGCCTGCCCTGTGGCAGAGCTGTCAAAGACCGAATTATACTAAACAATTGGGCTGGGTGTGTGCTTGCAGACGCAATCTTGGTCGCATAGAAGTCTCTCTTAGCGGCCCTGACTGCCACCTCATAGGATCTCATAAGCGCCCTATAAGATGTTCTTGACAGTTTCTAATCCATGCCATGGAATAAATTCTAATACAAGGTTGTTATGATTAGCTTGCCTGCTTTGTGAAAACATGTATTAGAATTTATTCCATGGCATGGATTAGAAACTGTATATTTTGAGAATGGAAGGATTGCTCTTTGAAAAATAAGGAATGACATCTTTGTGTTGTTGATCTTTGATGAAGGCTCTACGAAACGGAAATTGTTAATCCGGAGAGTTTCGTCATCACTACCTTGTGAAGACTTCTTTGATTGTATGTCTGGAAAAAAAATGGACTTTCGGCATTACATGGAAATATAGACTTTTGTGATATAAACTGCAGCAATTTTTGCACAGTTTCCTTTTGTGTTTTGCTTTACTCCCTGGACAGTTAAGCAGTTGGTCTTCCTGGGGGTCAGCTTGCCACTATTTGGCTACCCGGTCCTGGACTTTGAGGGTGACTGAAGTGATCACATTCTTGTTGCCTGCATCTTCTTTCAGTCTGTACTGGGAAGTTGGGGCAAAATGCTTTCCCCAAAATTAAAGCAAGACTAGAAAGAAGTAAGAAAGGAGCTGTGGTGGCTCAAGTGGTTAAGATGCTGAACTGCAGGCTGTGGAAGGTCAGTAGTTCAGCAGTTCGAGACCCGGGTGCCGCATGATGGAGTGAGCTCCCATCTCTAGTTCCAGCTCCTGCCAACCTAGCAGTTTGAAAGCAAGAAATTGCAAGTAGATAAATAGGTACCACTTCGGTGGGAAGGTAACAGCGTTCCGTGCGCCTTGGTGTTAAGTCATGCCGGCCACATGACCACGGAAATGTCTTTGGACAGCGTTGGCTCTTCGGCTTTGAAACAGAGATGAGCACCGCAACCCTAGAGTCGGATTCGACTGGCTTTCGAGCAAGGGAACCTTTACCTTTGCCTAGAAGGAAGTAGCAGGGTCATTAGCCAGTTGGATTGGCACAGAAATGCCCCACCAATCTCCGCACTGCCATTCCAAATCCACCTGCACCAAAATACCTCTAGAGAACCCTGGTAGCATTGCAGCATAGAGCGATGTCGAAGGTGGTGCACCACCAGCCACCCCAAACCAAAATTGCATGCTGAAATTTAAACAGCAGCATAAAAACTGTTTTTCATCATGATGGAGATGAAAGGGGTAGAGTAGGATAGTACCAAACAGAAACTAGCAGAACCCACAGGAGCACCATAAATAATGGAACTAATTTGAACATTCTTCTTTGGAGGTGTGGGAAAGGGAGAGCCTGTAATGAAGGGCAACTGCAGCACCTAGGCTAAGGCTCCTCCACTGAGGCAGTGATAGTTGGCGTGTGCTGCTGCTGAGAGGAGAGGATCAGGGTAGGCAGACAGCCCCCTCCCTCTCACTTCCTGAGGCCTTCCCTGGGGGAAATGGTGTATAAAGCTTCTCTGGTTTGCCCTTGGCTTTGGAAGAAAACAAAACATAACTGGGCTTCTGTGTATTGGGCTGACCTTGGTTCAGGTGGGCTAGCAAAAGTGCTTGTCCATCCTGCACTTTTGAGTGTTCCGTGGGGCTTCTACTGCCCTTCCTTCTGCCAATTTTTTTTTTAAACCTTGCTGGGATTCTCTGGTGTGAACATTGGTTAGTTCTGTTGGGTTTGTTTCCACTGCTGCCACATCGGCACTGGGTTGTGCTGCTGGGCACTATTGCACTGGTTCTGCTGTCCTTGCAACCCCCTTCCCCTTCACTCGGATTGTGATTCTGTGATTAACATCAATCCTGTTAAGATGACATTTGCCACAATGGCACTGGCTTCTGCTCCTGGGCTGTAGTAGGTTGGCAGTGGGTTGTGCTGTTGGGCACTGGTTCTGCTGTCCATGCAACCCCCATTGTTCGGATTGTGATTCTGGTGCTCGACATCAGTCCTATTGAACTGGAATTTGCCACAATGGTACTGGGTTCTGCTGCTGAGCACTAGTAGGTTGGCACTGGGTTCTGCTGCTGGGTACTAGTATATTGCAGTGGTTCTGCTGTCCCTGCAGAAATGCACCCCCCCCCTCGGCAGTTTCTACTTCAGAGATTCTCAGATTTGACCTTTGTCCTGTGGAGTTTTGGCACTGGTTCTCCTGGGTCTTGCAAAAATACCCCCCCAAACACACTTCACTTTCTACTGCAGAGATTCTCTGGGACGTTCTGCTGGGCTTGTATTGCCTTGCTATTTCCCCCTCTTTGGAAACAATGGAGGAGGGGACACCGCACATTCTTTGGGTGCCCATAGACCTGGATCCCCTGGTCCAATCTCCTTGAAACTTGGGGGTTCTTTTGAGGAGAGGCTCCAGCAGCTATGCTGCAAATTTGGTGCCTCTACCTCACCCCCCCCCCCAACACAGAATATACCACAAGATAGATTTGCCATTGACTTTATGGTCCCCATAGGGTATAATGGACCCGAATATATTCAGAATTCCTGAATATTAACTGAATCTGAATATCATATTGATGTTGAGATTCAGGAATATCAGGAAATACCAATATTATTTGGGTCCAATATACTTGAATCCGGGGGGGGGGGAATATCCCCCCCTCCAGTGGTGATCCGAGAAACGACCTTCTTGGTCGTGGCACCAAAATGTTGGAACTCCCTCACCAGGGAGATTAATCAGTCTCTCTCTGTCAGTGTTTTTGCCAGTAGATGAAGACTTTGTTTCATTTGGCATATACCAAATAATGGTTACTGGCCCTTCCTCCCTGGTTCTGGTTTTGTTAATTTAAGTGTGTTTATTTTATAATTTTACCTGTTTTTAATTGTTCAAATGTTTTAATGTGTTGAGAGCCCCGATGGAGTGGAAAGGCTGTATAAAAATGTTGTAAATAAATAAGTAGTATCTGGGAGACCCAGGTCACACACCCACTGTGCCATGGAAGCCAGCTGGGTGACCTTGGGTCAGTCGTGAGGATAAAATGGAGGAGCAGTAAAACATGCAGCTGCTTTGGATCCCCAGTGGTGTGAAAACCTGGGGTATAAATAAAGTAAATAAAAATACGTGTATACTTATAAGCATTTTATACACAGGCATGTTTAAAGTGCAAGAGGCTGAGTGGATAGATGACTCCAACAGTTTTGGAATTAGTCATGTCCTATTCTCTTCTTTCCCCCTTTACAGGTAAATTTGCTGAGGACATATTTGGTGAGCTTTTCACTCAGGCTAACACCTTTGCCTTTCGTGTGAGCTCTCTAGTCGAGAGAGTAGACCGCCTACAAGTCAAAGTCACTCAGCTGGATCCCAAGGAGGAGGAAGGTAAGGGATCAAATGATGTCCTCCTAGGCCAAATACTCCAAAGAACCATAGAAGCAGCTTAGGAATGCTCAGGGCCTTGGAGTGAACTTAAAACAAAGGCTGGACACCTGTCAGTTGGCCGTCTGTCCTGTATCTGCACTCAGAATGGTTGTCAGATATTCCCATGAATGCCCTTGTGTAAGTAACCTTTTTATTGTACCATGACAATTTGCTTGTTATGGTGGGAATAGATTCTCCTTGCTCTCTTTCTGTGAGGGTCAGGGGTGCACATGTATTTATCCTCATTTAGGAGCAGATGCCTCATACCCTTCCCAGAGATGTTTTGACTTCTCCCCTCCTGATAAACATGCACAATCTAGCTTGTCCTACTGGCCATGAGAGAAAACTGGCCATTTTTAAAAAATGAAATGGGAACACTGGGCTGTATTGGCTTGGATGACTCCATCTTTGCTAGTTGTCCTGAGTCTCTTGGGAGAGGACAGCATGAGCTGCTCTCAGGGGAACATTCTCACTCTCATGCTTGTTAGCAGAGCCTTCTCTTCAGGGCCTGGGTTGTTCCCCCCCCCCCCCATTGGAAGCCAGGTGCAGGATGGCCTGGCTCATCCAAGTGTTTGGGATAGCTTAATTAACCATTCTTTGGGATCACAGCCAGCATTTATAGTATAAGAAGCCTCTTGGTCTCGAGGGTTTAGCTAAGCTCCACTGTGCATGTGTATGCGTCTCTAGGCCAGCTGACTGGAGCTCAGCCCTGCATCTGCTTTGATAACTGTGATGGGTTATTAAAGCTCTCCTCATAAGTAAACACGAATATCTTGTATCAGTTCTTTGGGAACTTCGGGGAACCTATGCAGCCCCTGGCCGGGGTCCGCAACATGGGTTCAGGGAGAATTATGAACGAAACACCTGTACACAAGCTGTTACTAGATTTCAAGTGTCCAGGAGTTGGGATGATTACATTTTTTGTGAGGATCTTAAATGCTGCTCTGTTAAGCTGATGGGCTTGACTGAGCTCTAGAGCAGGGGAGCCAAGCATGTGGCCTGCGGGCCGGATGCGGCCCACAGAGGGCTCAAATCTAGCCCCCTTCTCCTGCTTCCTCCTTCTAGTCCTCCTTCTCCTGCTTCCTTTCCCATGGCTGCTACTGCAGCCACACCGTAGCTTGCTTTTTTCCCAGCTCCCTTGTGACTTTTGCTTCCTGCCTCTTGCCTCCCTCCCCCTCCCTTGTGCACACTCTCTCTCTCTCTCGCTGTCTCTCAACAGATGCACCGGCCACTCCAGCGCGGGGGGGGCGGGCCTTGGGCCGAGCCTGACCCTGCTGCCGCCACTGCTGTCGTCTGAGCCTGACTACCGGCAGCTGGCGGCATGCGGCGTCTTTCACTCACTGTGCTCGGAGCCGATGCAATGGGTGGACGGGCCAGCCTGGCCTCCACCCCCGCCCTTTTTCCTCGCAAAACTCCGGGCGCTGGCTCCTCCCGCCTCCCTCCCGCGGCCAGCCGATCCAGCGAGGAGCCAAAAGCACGTCCCCCCCCCCCCTCTACCTTCGTTTGGCCTCCTCTCTGCCATTGCCCGTCCCCCAAGCCATGTCCCTGGCCGACCTCTGAGGGCAGTCGCCGGGCTGTGGGGAGGCCGGGCCCGGTGGCTTACAGGACCCGCCAGAGGCTTGTGTGAGGAGGCGGAAGATGGCGCCAGTGGCGCCTCACCCCACACAATGGCGCCGCCTCTGTGGCGCCCGAGGATTCTCCTCCGCCCAGGCCACTCTGCAGACGCTCCATTACAGCCCCACCACCACCACAAGCCCTCACTGCTGCAGAGCCACCGCTGCACCAACTGCTGCCTGCTTGCCGGCCCCGCGCCCGGGACGCGAGCACCGGCACCGGAGGGTTGCGCCTCTACTCCGAAGTGGCCGAGGAGGAGGTGGGGCGGCTGGTGCTGCTGTGGTGGGAGGCCGCCACTTGCCTGGCTGCCGTGTTGCAGCCCACCACCACCCCGCCTCTACTACAGGCTCTCGCTGCTGCACCAACTGCCTCCTGCTTGCCAACCCTGTGGGACGCAGGTGGCCGCTGCTCTACCCGCCAGGGGGCCTACTTGACCCCGGCTTCAGAGAGGAACAGCCCTGCATCCAGTGGTCGCCTGCCCATGGCGCTCGGACCCTGCTTCGGGGGGGGGGGGCTGATGCAGGCCGCCATACTCTCCCACGCCCTCTTACTAAAGCTTGTTCCATTTCATTGCACAACGAGCCTTGATTCCTAGTGTATTATATATTGTACATTGAGGACTACTTAGTCCAGTGACTTTCAATCTAGAGGCTAAATTCAAGGTCTGTGTTTTTAAATTTGTATTTTAAATGCAATGTGCAATTGATTGATTTCATTTAATTTGTTTTTATACTGTTTCTGCTCAATCTTCGTGTTACCTAATTCAGTTTTGGGGTTGGGTTTCTTCCCCCTTTTTTTGGTGAGTGGAGCTCATTTTGAACGAATTTTCATTTGTGATGTCTGAAAACAGACTTCATACCAACCATAATTCTCGGTCCCTTGGTTATTATTTAATGCCGTTTGATCAGTTAGTTGAACAAAGTGTGTGCCAGTTCTGCCTGAAACTTTCTGAATTCAGGTGGATATCCTCTGACCAAGGTGGCGGAGGAGCATGCTTTCCACATCCGCATTCTTTAAAAAAAGAAAGCATTCTGCTGCTTAAACAAGAAATTATTCCAAGGCGGTCTGGTTCATTAATACGCAGTTGAGCAGTTAAACCTAACAAGGTTTCAAATGCAGCTTCAGATGATATTGTGAAAAGAGTTTCTTAAAAGGCTTCCTTCAAGAGGCAACTAAAGAATTTATACCATTATCAGAGTGCATTGAAGACAGTCACTGAACAAACAGTAGCCTAGTTTGTGTTTGAGATCAAGCGTCAGTTTTCTTTCTTCTTCCTTCATAGTGTCCCTGCAAGGTATTAACACAAGGAAAGCCTTCAAAAGCTCCACAACTCAGGACCAAAAGCTCTTTGACAGAGACTCTCTCCCAGTGCCTGTCCTTGAAACATACAGCGTTTGCAACACACCACCACCTCTTAGCATTCTCTCCTCTTACAGGTAATGTGTATTCAGAACTGAGCAGGGAAGGCTGCCCAGATGATTGATAAGGTCGTGAACTTGCATTGAAACTGTCTTCCTCTCCAAAGGCAATGGAGTAACACATCTAGTCCATAAGAGAGCCTCCTGAGTGATCAAGGGATTGGCACATCCTCCCTACGTAGAAAGGCTATGTGTTTGGGGCTTTTTACTTGAGGACAACGTGATGGGGAAAGGCAGGGGAGACAACACAATGCAGACCTGTATAAAGTTCTGGACTCTTAAGGAGAAAGCAGACTGGGGAACACTTGGTGTAACTCAGTAAATTTGACAATTTATTCTGGGTAAGACAAAAGAACTTTTTCACAAAGGATATAAAATGGCTGTAGGATGCTTGGATAACAGACCAAACTCTGGCTATCTTTGGCTAAGGGGACTTTCGTATTTAGGAGTAGTGCACTCTTGAGTATCAGATGCTGAGGACAAGCAAGCATCAGTGATCTCCACGTGAGCTTCCAGAGGTACGAGGCCAATACCGGAAATTGAATGCTGTCTTGGATAGACCTTGGTTTCCATTTTCTAGGGCGGATTGGCCACCGCCTTGGGCCTTAGGGCTTAATCCCCCTGATTTAAGCTGCTTAGGTGACCACATCCTCCCAAAAGAAATGAGGTCCATGCTGAGGTCTCTGCAAGGACATCTTGTTTAGTGAACAGAGGAGCACCTGCTTCTCCAGGCTGTGTCGGTTGATTTTAATGTAAGCAAGCTCTGGAACTTGGCCAAAAGCAGTGTGGGAGCAGGTGCCCATCTCTCTTTTACAAACAAGAGACACCCACCCACCCCCGGTCTCGGTCATTGCACAGAGAGCCTTCGGGGTACCCTGTGATTTCCAGACAGGAGATAAGGTAAGCAGCATGTGACTCTCCAAGCCCCACCACCGATTGCCACACTGAATTGTGAGGGCATGGCCCAGCACTCCCCCCCCCCAGGAAATGAAAGAGGTATGCTGTTGTTTCCTGTCTGTCAGGCACATATCTCGCTCCATCAGAGCCTGGGGGTGGGGGGAGCCCTGTGTGACATACAGGTCCCCATACCATACCAGGATTATTTATTTCTAATTTCCCTGTGTGAAATTGTGCAAATTGTTGTGACTGGAAAACATCAGTTTGTTTACTTTGTTTTATATATTTTGTGCAGCAGTGCTTTCAGCAGTCAGAATCGCTACATAAACTTCCACAGTGACAAATACGGCACATAATTTTGGGTTTTTTCCCATGCATTCGTCTGTGTAATCTTATTCCTTTTTCTTTATTGTGCAGTTTACACTGCTCACTTCATCTTCAGAGGAGGAGCATGTCATATTGGCTTCTGCATCTTGGAGGCAGATCAGCCACCCTTGTTGTTTAGGTTGAGATGGAAAATACCAGTCCTTTCTCAGCTCCTTCCAGAGTTGGGGATGGGTGGGAGAGATCTTCATTCAGGATCTGTAGCGTTTGCACCTGGTATCTAATTTGCTTTATTGAGGCTATGGACAATCTGTCTTCACTGTGCATGTGTGTGCTTTTTCTTAGGGATGATGGCAAAGAAGCACTTAAATTCTACACAGATCCATCTTATTTCTTTGATCTCTGGAAGGAGAAAATGCTGCAGGACACCAAGGACATCATGAAAGAAAAGCGGAAGCATCGGGTGAGAGGAAGGGCATCTTTTGCTTACTGAATTTTTAAAAAACTTGAAGGGGGGGGGGATATAAGACTACTATTGTCAGGGCAGGAAAACATGTCAGAGAACTAGTTGGAGTTCTCATGATTTCAGATTAAGCAGGGAAAGTTTGATTTAGCACAGTTGTGCTTGTTTCTGAGTAAGCAGCCGTAGGATTGAGCTGCAAACCATTTACTTTGAAGAAAAATCTGGGTTATGTACAGACATACCCGGATGTAATAATTTGATCAAACTTGTACAGAACCGAGGTGTTAACTTGCATTATGGAAAAGGTGAAGCAGATTAGGGCCAGAATTTTGGTTGGAGTCCCCAAATGTGCATGCGTTTAAAACCTAACTTTAAAAAAACAAAAAACCAACTCATGTATTTTCCTTGCTTTATTGCTTCTACTCCGTATGTGATGGATCAGAAGATAGGTCTGACTTGCCATATGCCAGACTTTGAGGATATCCATGAAACGCTACTTGTGGGGAAAAGTGGACCTTGAAGAATAAGGTCCTCAGCAGGATGGGAGAAAGTGGTGGAAATTGCATATTTGGGTGATGTGCAGGGTATACAATAGTCATGACTCATGAGGTTCTTTTGGTCAATAGAATTTGTGAAATGAGGCTCTCTGTGATCTATGGAGTGAGTGCCACTGTCCCAAGATGTGCATTGGCCTCACCTGGATTTGGAGGGAGTTTGGGTGGGCTTTTGACTCACTGCTGTTTTTCTACATCCTTTCGGGATGTCCTGTGAAATATTGGTGGTATTTGGGACTAGTTTCTGCTTCTCTGTAGCTGGATCACATGCTTGAATAATTGGAGGAGTGTTGGACACAGCACTGGAAAATGGCCTGGGAGTGCGTCTCTTACCTGGCTAAATGAAGCCCTGAGTGGTTCATTCCTTTCCAGCATTCATAGTGCTACCTTGCTACCTGTTGCCATGTAGTCCCTACCTACTCCCTAAGAGTTTTGCTGCCAAGTGCCCGCTGTAGCAGCAGGGTGGTGTGGTTTTCCTGGCATGGAGCACACTGTCTTTCTTGCTTCCATTTATGGTACTGCTCAGAGCAATTTTCTAGTCAGACCCTAGGAAAACACCTTCTTGCAATACTGTGAGGCTAGCCTTAGCCCATCTGTTTATGGGCAGGTGTCAACCACTCACTCATGGTGCTCCTTTGTAAGTCTGAATCTGAACCTCCAGTCTTGTAAGATTTGAAAGAAGAGGGATTGTGGTAGTTCTTTCCCCATGGCCTTTATTCCCCAGTGGCATACTCCAACAGAGATAGTCTTCTGCATATAGGATGGATGGAAATAGACACTTGTGCAAATTTGTTCTATTACAGGTATGTCCATTTTCTGTTGGTCTGATTGTACTCTTAATATGGGGAATACTGACCATGTAAAGTGCCCTTCACTCCAAAAGACCACTTGTAACAGGTGACCTTGTGCCAATAATAATAATAATGATGATGATAATGATAATAATGATATATGAGAGGCTCAGTGCACCTAGATCCCATCTGAGTGCCATAGTATTGTCATTTAGATCAATGGTGTTCTAAGAGTCATTAGGTTAGAGTTTTGGAATAGGATTTGGGAGACCCATCCCCTCTTTTCCATGGAAGCTTACTTGGTGACCTTTGGCCAGTCATACACTCTCAGCCTAATCTACCTCATTACATTGGTATGAGGATAAAGTGGAGGAGAGGAGAATATTTTAAGCCACTTTGGGTCCCTGCTGAGGAGTGAAGTGGGGTATAAAACCCCTGTGAATTACCAGTCTTGTTCAGGTACAAAAGTGGTGGACCACCTTCTCGGCAAGATAACTTGTCTGCCATTTCTGCTCTTGCCTTGCAGTGTGTAGCCAAAAGGGAGTTTAGGTTGTGTACTAAGATGTGCGGATGCACTGAAAGTTGGCATATGGCAGGGATGGAACCCTACAGTCCTGGGCAGTGCTTGACATGTGTACCCCTAAGATTCTCCCCCCCATTCTCTGCTGTGTATAGAGGGACAGAGAGTGCTCTTTAGAAGATAAGTCATGAAAATTTATAGTGTGGTCCACTTTTGTATGTAAACCTATTGGGTTGGTAGAATCAGGATTTGATAACCATGTGTCTTTACAGAACAATTCTGTGGATTACTCTGATAATCATAGTAAAATGGAGCACTACTGTACAAAGTGCAGATGTCCCTCTATTTTGCAAACTTTATGTAAAGAGAGGCTGCCAATCACAGAATTCTCTAGAAAAGTGGGGACAGTTTTGAATTGTACTCAGAGAATCTCGTAGCTTCACATGCTGGAACACTGAAGAGACTTGCCGCTTTTAATTTGTTACTCAGATATGTTAAGGCAAGGAAGAATGTGGTTTCAGAAGGCTTCTTGTGGACTTTCTGAGAGTGTTGTGGGGACTGACTTTACTCCTGCCAATGCAATGAAACAGGAGGATCTTAACAAAACATCTCTTTCTGAGCCCATTTTAACAAGCTTTAAATATATATATTTCTCTAGAAAGAAAAGAAGGATAATCCAAACCGAGGAAATGTGAATCCACGGAAAATCAAAACCCGGAAGGAAGAGTGGGAGAAAATGAAAATGGGACAAGAGTTTGTAGAGTCAAGGGAAAAATTTGGACCACCTGGGTAAGAGAAAATGTAACAGCTGATCTGATAGAAGCAGAGCATGGTTGGTGTGAATGTTGTCTGTGTGGGTCTGCAGTTCTCCTGTTTGGTTTGGTATGAAGAGCCAGTTTGGTGCAGTGGATAAGAGTGCAGAATCTAATCTGGGAGCACCGGGTTTGATTCCCCACTCCTCCACATGCAGCTGCTGGCATGACTTTGGGTCAGTCATAAGTTCTTTCAGAGCTGTTCTCTCATGAGCAGTTCTCGAAAGAGTTCTCTCAGCCCCACCTATCTCACAGGGTGTCTGTTGTGGGGAAGGGAAGGAAAAGGAGATTGTAAGCCGCTCTGAGACTCCAAGTGAAGGGCGGGGTATAAATCCAATCTCTTCTTCTTCTTCTTCCTACTTCACTGTGCAATGCCAGCCCTACCAGTGCTTTAAAGATTCTCCTAGTAACCCATTTGGCAATGAGAATTTTTTTTGCTAGGTAGTTAATATGCACCCTTGTACCTTGTGGTGTCCCTGAGGTTCAAGGCAAGTTATACAAATGTTTTTACACTTAGCATAGGTAAGGGAAGTGCTCCCTGCATATAGCTTGAGATCTGATTCATCCTTAAAGTAGCATATAGTGGCTGCAATTTAAAGAACCATGCAGGATGCTCAGGGAACGTTTGGGGCTTGTGTTGTTCAGCATGCAGCTTTGGGGACTGCTGTTCAATCTCACTTTCAAAGAAAGGATTTTAAAAGACACCTGGATATGGCAGGGTGGGTGGTCTGATTAGAGAATTCACAAAACCATACTGAGCATGCCCAGGTCCGTAGCTGTACCTTAGGAAGTGGTAACTGGTCACTAGGCTGTCCTGACTGTTCAATTTTGTAGCCTTCTAGAGAATTCACATCTTGTTGCATACCTGCAAAATCCTTTCCTACTTCCCACGCATTCTGCAAAAATTCTGAAACAAGAAAATGATCAAGGCCAAGGGTATAATTCACATCACATACAGGAAGGAAGGCAGAAGGATAGCCAGCCTCCAAAGCCAAACCCAGGAACTGCTGTAATTGCCCACTGGTGCTTGGGAGCCACAAAGCTGTTTTAGGGACTGCTGGCATATCCAGGTATGACTGTCTGAGTGTACTTTTCAGACTGACCATTCCTCACTTGGAATGGGTTGCATATCTGAGAAAAAGGCTCTGTCTACCAAATAATATCACCTGAAGAGCAGCCCTGGGCTGTGTGTTCTTACTTGCCATTCTGCCCTAGTACATGGCTGCAGAAAGCACTGGCATTGTTCCAGTGACATTGCAGGGGGAGGGGTTTGGATTTCAGAGCACTTCTAGACTTGCTTGGCAGTTTAAGCAAGTGCATCTGTTCTGGCTCTCTTCAGCCATGCTAGACTTAATATTAACCAACAGGGAAGAATTGGTAGATGGGGTGAAGGTGGTGGGGACCTTAGGGGGAAGTGACCATGTCCTCCTTGAATTCCAGTTGCTGTGGGGGGGGTCAAAGAAGTTTGTAGCCAGACTCGTAGGTTAGATTTTCGTAGGGCTGACTTCAACAAACTCAGAGGCTTGATGGGAGTCTTCCATGGGGGAGTGTGCTGGAAGGGAAAGGAGCGAGTGAAGGGTGGGCTCTTCTCAAACATGAGCTTTTGTGAGCTCAAGCCTCACTATTCCAGCAAGACAGAAACATAGTAAGGGCTCCAAGAAACCAATGTGGATGAACCAAGAGCTTCAGAATAAGCTAAGGGAGAAAAAGGAAATGGAGGGAAGGTCAGACATCTAAAGAGGAGTATATGAGAGTTACTAGGTACTGCAGATCAGTCATCAGAGAAACCAAAGCTCGATATCAGTTGGGTCTGGCCGGGGGGGGGGGGGTGGCCAGGGGGGCTCGCTACAATAAGAAAAACTTCTACAGATATGCAAGGTAAAAGAGGCAATTCAACCACTTTTGGGAGTAGAAGGAGAAACTCTGGTGGAAGACAGAGAAAAAGCAGACAAGCTTAATGACCTTTTTACCTTTGTTTTCTCCCAGAACTCGAGCCCATCTAGAGATGGTATAGGATATAACAGGACACCTGAATGTCCAGTTGACATTGACAGGGAGGTTGTGGAGAGGTACCTGGCTGCACTGGACAAATACAAATCCCCTGGGCCAGATGGTGTGCACCCAAGAGTGCTCAAAGAACTTTCTAATGAACTTGCAGAGCCTCTGTCCATCATCTTCAAGGCCTCCCGGAGGACTGGGAATGTGTCACAAGATTGGAGGAGAGCGAATGTTATCCCAATCTTTAAGAAAGGGAAGAAGGATGACGTGAGAAACTACAGGCCGGTCAGTCTGACTTCTGTTGCTGGGAAGATATTACAGCACATTTTAAAAGGGTTGATCTGTAAGCATCTGAAGGACCACTTAGTGATCCGGGGAAGTCAGCATGGTTTTGTCCCCAACAGATCTTGTCAGACCAACCTGAGTTCCTTCTCTGGTCGTGTGATGAGCTTACTGGATTGTGGGAACTCTGTTGATGTGATTTACCTGGATTTCAGTAAAGCTTTTGATAGGGTTCCCCATGACATTCTGATGGGCAAACTGGAAGACTGTGGACAGGACTATAGGACAGTTCGGTGGATAGGGAACCGCACCCAAAGAGTGGTGGTCAGTGGCATTTCATCAGATTGGAGGGAGGTGTCCAACGGGGTGCCGCAGGGTTCGGTTTGGGGCCCGGTACTTTTCAATATTTTTATCAATGACCTGGATGAAGGGGTAGAAGGGCTACTCATTAAATTTGCTGATGATACCAAATTGGGAGGAGTAGCAAACACCCAAGAAGATAGAGTTAAAATTCAACAAGACCGGAATACTCTGGAGAAGTGGGCAGTTGTGAACAGGATGCAATTCAACAAAGATAAATGCACAGTATTACATCTGGGCCACAAAAATGTCAGGCACAAATACTGGATGGGGGATATGTTTCTGGGGAGTAGTGTATGTGAAAGAGATCTTGGGGTAAGGGTGGACTGTAAACTAAATATGAGCAGTCAGTGTGATGCGGTGGTAAAAAAAAGGCAAATTCAGTCTTGGGTTGTATTAAAAGGGCCATAGCATCAAAATTGCAGGAGGTCATAGCACCTCTGTATATTGCCTTGGTCAGGCCGCACCTTGAGCACTGTGGGCAGTTCTGGAGGCCTCACTTCAAAAAGGATGTGGACAACAGGGGTCTGGAGAATGAGATCTATGAGGAAAGGCTAAGGGCCCTGGGAATGTTTATTTTGGAGAAGAGGAGATTGAGGGGGGACACAATTGCTCTCTTTAAATATTTGAAAGGCTGTCATTTGGAGGAGGGCAAGGAGCTGTTCCCGTTGGCAGCAGAGGATAGGACCCAAAGCAACGGGTTTAAATTACAAGCAGAAAGGTATTGGCTGGATATTAGGAATAACTTTTTTACGGTCAGAGTGGTTCAAAGGTGGAATCAGCTGCCTAGAGAGGTGGTTAGCTCCCCTTCACTGGCAGCTTTCAAGAAGATGCTGGACGAATATTTGTCAGAGATGCTCTAGGCAGGGTTTGGACTAGATGGTCTGTATGGCCCCTTCCAACTCTATGATACTATGATTCCCTTGCCTTGGTGTTCTGCCTGCCTTTTTAGATTGTCAATTTTTGTGATTAATGTGGCAGTGGGTAGGAGATGGCAAACACACCCAGCACTGAAAACAGCCCCCAAACCAGTCTGTTTTCCTTTTCTTTTTTAAAAGCCTAGGATACTTGAAAACTATTTTTTCCCCTCTCAAACATCTTCTGAAAATGCTTGTCTTCCCTCCTCATGTATGCATGTTTGTTTGGGGATTTAACTTTTGGCATTGGTTTTGGAGTTCAAAGTGAACTGCTGCAACAGCATCATGAATACTAGTTTCTGCATCTGAGGTGGAAGGAGCTGTGTGCATCTTGTTCTCTGCAACAGCAGAATTTCCTTGATATACTCACCTCTTAAAGTTGCTTTCCCTTAAATTTTTTAACACCTCCTTGTGTTGCAACAAGAGAAACCTTTAGAAGGCAGGAATATAGACAAGGTTGACCATTGCTGTGCCTGTGACTTGGCCTGGCCTAGCCCTGTCTAGTCTGTGTTTTGCTGGGCCCCATTCCCCTGAAAATACTAGAGGAGAACTGCCAAACTATCATGTTTTTCAGAGGCAGCGGCTGTTGACTGCCCACCAACATTTTCCCCCACACCTCTTTGCTCTAGCACTGAACTGGAAATGCATATCTTTAAATGTTTTTAAATGGTTTTGGCAAACAGGTGAAACTTGGATACAGGTTTTTTTATGATGCCTGTCATTCACAGCCATAGCTCGTTGGCATTGAGACTCATAGCAAATTTGCATACTCTTAACATGCATTAATCTGTGTCAAAATGGTGGCAGGTTCCAACATTGTGTTGGCTGGGTTTGGAAATGCTTCTCGAATGAGTGTGTAATTTGTGTGAGAAGGAGTTAGATTTACTTGACTGCTTTTCTCCCTCTGCAAGATAACTTGTCTTCCACTTATGTATTTGCCACTTTCACAAGGATGCAGGGCCCTATGGACCCCACATTGAGGGTTCTTGAGTGTGTATATATAATTATTGTTTCACTAATTGAGACAATCTCTTGAAGCATTCCCAGCTCAGACAAATGCTATGTTTGAGCAAACTTCAGAGGACGGCGGAAAACAGGAGGGCCTGACGTGATCTTGTCCATGGGATCGCGAAGAGTCGGACTCGACTGTGCGACTGAACAACAACAACAAAACAAATTTAAAGATAAATTTAGACAAATACTCCTAAAAATGTGCATTCTTGAAATCTGGAGGAAATTATTCCCCTCTTTTGGGTCCCAGTTGCCTTCTCGCAGAGCAGAGAATAACTTCTATCTCAGAAGGTCTGCTGGTGTTCAACTGGGTCTTGGTGATCTTGGGCGATCCAGTATGTTCAGGAGGCTTTTGCACTTCTTCTCCATGGCCTTTGCCTGTTTGTGAGCTCTTGGAATCCTAACTCTGTCTCCACTGCTCTCAGTGCTGAATGTTCTTGCAAAGAAAAGCACTGATATTTTAATGTCCTTGATTTGCCGTGTCCTTTGCTTCTGGAGAAGTTCATTTATTATACTTGTATCTCATCTTTCTTTTTCTAAAAAAACAAAAGCCCAAATCTCAAGGCAACTAATACACAGAAACTGGAAGCTCCTTTTTTATCTGTCCTGCAATAGTAGATGGCCACTGTTGTGCCCCAACAGGGAGAGGCCAGGTGACGGTGACACCTGGGCAGACAAAGATCATGGAGGGAGCCTCGTTCTTTCCTTCTGTATGGTGATAGCTGTTCCGAGTCCCAAGTGAGAGGGACCAGGAGTCTGTTGGCATTTGATGTCTTGGATTTGAACAGAAAGTGTCAGTGGCCTTCAGAATATACTTTGGAGAACCTGGGTTTCTATTAGAGGCCTGCCATGGACATCTCATTGGAAAGTTTGATAATGGTGGGAGAAGCTTTCCTGGAATTTTGCTTGCCTCCCCCCCCCCCCCCCCCCATTTTTTGTCTCCTACATTCAGGCTGCAATGCAGAGCCACAGGCAAGTGGGTGCTCTTTTACATAGAGAAAAGGTGAGGCCCAGTAGGCTTGTGACTAGTGTTCCATGTGAGTGACACATGTACCCCAAATTCCCTGCAATGTGTAGGGTTTCCTTAGCTGATAAGTCAGTGTGGACAGTTGTCTGTGAAAACCTGAAAGCCATGGTTTGAAGCAGAGTACAGCCAGCGGTGCATGCATTTCTTTTGCTGATGAAGTGTAGCGACATGCTCATCTGATGGGTGGGGGCTCACCTTGTAAAAAGTCCAGAGGTAAAATGGATGTAGCCGAGGCCAGTCAAACAGCTTGCTTTGTCGAAAGGCAAAATACATACAAAGCAACCTCCATGTTTCAGGAGCTGGCAAGATCCATCAGATTGCCAAAGGAAGAGCAGTGTTGCTGCTGTAGTCTCTACCATCTTCTCTCTGTCAGAATTTCAGCAGTTTGAAACTAAGAGCTGAATTATGTGTTCAGGTATATGTGGGAGTCCCTTCCTGGACTGTTCCACCTGAGATTATAGGTGGACATTTGCATGATCATATTCTTCTCAATGTTTACACAAAAAGGCTGTTCATAGGATATTAGCGTGTTACGCTATAGCCCTTCTCAGCATACTAACTTTCAGACGTAGGAAATTCTTACCATGGAGGAGCATTCAGACGTGCAGTCACCCACCCGCGTTCAAAATTGGTATAAACCCAAAAGGCCTGTGCCTTACAAAACATTCATTCTTGAAGGACGTGACTGAGAGAGTAGGGCTAGAAAGAAGACCTGAAGGGATTCCTAGTCCTACTTCCTTCCTTGAGAGATTTCCCTCCCCCCCCGCCCGATCCTTTATATTTTAGCCCAAATCAACACATACCCAGTCCTACCTCATCAGAACCAAATAGAAGGAACAGACTAATTTTACTACTCCAGAAGTGCCTAGACAAGAATATTTAGTAAGTCTTTTGTATACATTCCATGGTGGTATACATGGTGAACAGAACATACACATCAGTTTCCGATGCTCTGTGCTATGTGTTCCTGCAGAGTAACTGGTGATCTCTGTCAGAAGAGCTGGAGCCTAAGTCATGAGGGGGAATGTTTCTTGACATCCCTGCCTTTCTTCATGTCCTTAATGTGCTTGGAGTTATTTTCTCATGGAAGGGTGCCGTGGAACCTTGGAAGAGGAGGATCTTATTTGATGTCAGTCCGTGCAGCTCAGGATGGGTTTTTTTGCTTGCTCGTTTGGTCGTTTTTAGGTACCCCTCTAATATGGTATACCAGAATGGCAGCATCGGCTCTAACGAAAGCGTAGATGCAAGCTACTATCTGCCTCCTCCACAGCCAGATTCAGTTTCTCCATCTCCTCCTTCATTTGCTGAGGACAGCCTTCCTCCACCACCAATGGAATTTAGGTAAGCATCCCTAAATCACAAGAGGTGAAAAGATGGTTATAGCTTGGGCCTGGAGTCCTCCAAGCCATGTGCTGAATTGAGACCACAGCGAGCCTGTCCAGAAAGCCCCCTCAGTGTTAGCAAAGTAGGTGGTCAGGAGCAGTCCCATAGAACACTGGGCTCAAGGGTGCCCCACCCCATGGTTGCTTGTTAGACAAACGTTCCCTTTCATTTGAAGGAGCTTCTTTAGACTCTACACCATCTCCTTTATACTTTGTGGAATATAGCTTTCACCTAGGAGAAGAGTATGTGCTACTGTGTGAAAATGTCATGTCTTTTTTGCAGTGATCACGCATGTGTGATGCCACTGTGAAGCAAATGGAACTTTGTAAAGTGAAGCATTTTACCACTGAAGTTAGTATGGAAAGTAGATGAGGATTATATGAAAAAGATAGTGAATGTGTATGCAGCACTTCTGTATTAACTTGAGATCTAGGAACTTAATCTAAACAAAGCTGATGTTTTCTGGATCTTGTAGATTTTGGACAATTTTGTGTTTCTTGTCTCTGCAAGATAGATTTTGGAATAATTGTTTTCTCTGGCTTCCTTCATGGGAAAATATTATTATGGAATGTTCTCTAGTCAAGAATTTCCCAGGCAACTCCATTTTCTGGAACTAGCTTTAAAAGCATCCTGTTGTCAGGGTTATCTTTTGAACCAGCTGTGTTCATGCATGTTCTTATACTGGTAGCCTTTTCCCCATAAACATCCTGGAGAATCCTTCCAAAAGCCAGCTGTAAGATGCAAAGCAGTACATTAGAATATAACACATAGACGCTTTTGTTTTAGACAAATCTAGCAGGAAAAAATATCAGGAAAGTTGGAAAGTAATTGCTTTCCTTTGCTTCACAGCAAATGTCTAGGTATGTGCTGCTTTACAAAACTAACGGACTGCTTTGTCTCTCTCTCCAATCTCCACTCCAGCAATTACCCAGCACACAACCAAAGTAGTTCTGGAGGGCTGAAGAAATCTGGCCTAGTCAGCCCCAGCCACCCTCCACCAGCTCCACCCATTGGTTCACCACAAGGAGCCCGGCCGGGTTTTGCACCACCTCCTGCACCTCCACCTCCGCCACCGATGATGGGGGTTCCTCCACCACCACCACCACTTTCAGGCTTCCCAACTGTGGGGATCCCACCACCTCCATCGCCCCCTGCCTTTCCCCCTCACCCTGATTTTGCTGCCCCTCCACCCCCACCGCCACCAGCAGCAGAGTATACTCTTGTGCCCCCACCCATGTTACCCCAGCAAGCCAGTGGTGCGCCACCCCCTCCTCCACCCCCACCCCCTCCTGGGCCTCCTCCTTTGTCCTTTGGTGGCACGGATGGCCCAGAGGCTCTTCCACAGCTGGACTCGGTGCCCTCCAAGCCAAAGTCCTCATTGCCTGCTGTTAGTGAGGCTAGAAGCGACTTGCTTTCTGCTATTCGTCAAGGTAAGTCTCATCTCCTACTGCACATGCCTGGCCTTGCCTTCTGAAACTAGATTATTTCCTTGCCCAATGGCGGGGAGGTGGGGCAGGGTTTTTGAGGCCATATCAGTTGCAGGCCTGTGGCAAGCATGTGCTGGGAATGCCTTCAGTGAACCCAGCCACCTTCCCTTTTCACCACAGGGTGGGAATCCTCTTTCAATCACACCTTCACAGTTTGTGTCTTTGTTTAAATCTAGCCCTTCAGAAGATACACATTAAGCTGTTTTATACTGACTCTTCGTTTGGGTTGTGTGACTGGCAGCAGCTCTCCAGGGTCTCAGGCTGAGGTCTTTGATGTCACATGGGAGCCTGTGCTTCTGCAAGGCCACCCATGAGGTCTCTCCCATCACTTCTGCAACCATCAAGCAGATATTCCCCATATAAAAACATTGACTCAGAATGGTACCCCAGAAATACAGTCTAGGGGAGATTAAACCTGGATAATGAGAGCCAGTGTGGTATAGTAGTTAGAGTGTTGGACTGGGATCTAGGAGACCCAGGTTCAAATGCTGCCCTGCCACAGAAGCTTGCTGGCTGACCTTGAACCAGTCACATGGTCTCAGTTTAGCCTACCTCAGAGGGTGGTTGTTAGGATACAATGGAGGAGAGGAGAAGAATATAAGTCATGCTGTGTTACCCAAAGAGGCACTTTCCTAATTAATTGGGGGAATTTAGCTTAAAAGAGACAAGTGGGGGGGGGGTAACTGGGATCTCCACCAATGTTTATGGGGATTTTTCCCTTAGAGAAATAGCACAGTCATTAAGAGTGTCTAGAAACTCAATCCCTTTTTCCCGACTTGAACAAATATTGACCCAGTCAATGTGTGGGTAGTTAAAATCACCTGTTACGACACAGTTATTTCGTCTAGCCACTATCTTTAATTCATTCATCATTTTATAATCCTCCTCTATCTTTCGATCTGATGGGCGATAACAAACTCCCAGTGTTAAGCTTCCTTAACACTGCAGCACCCTGATGTGTTCCGGGAGTTCATTCCATCAGTGTGGAGCCGCCACTGAGAAGGCCCTAGCCGTAGTTCTGATAAGAGTTGTTCTTTAAAAAGAACAGTTTTTGTCAAGAGCTCTCTCAGCCCCACCTACCTCACAGGGTGTCTGTTGTGGGGAGCGGAAGGGAAAGGAGTTTGTAAGCCGCTCTGAGACACCTTTGGGTAGTGAAGGGCGGGGCATAAATCTAATCTCCTCCTTCTCCTCCTCTCTGATCACTGCTAACAGCTGGGGAGAAAGGCGGGGTATAAATAAAGTAAATAAATCACCTCCTACCTGGTCCTTTACCCGGATATGCCAGGGATTTAACCTGGGACCTTCTGCAAGCAAAGAGTTGTTCTATCAGTGAGCCGCAACAACTCCCTTAAAATTGTAAATCAGCCACATTTTCTAACCAGTTTTTGTGGGAGTGGTGTTTCTCCTTTGGGTTCTCAAATGCCACTGTTAGTATGACCTCTGGATTTGGTTTCATTGTATATGCCAAGCTGGCACAAACAGCAGCAGCAGCGTAATACTTTTTATTAGGACTTCCTGAAAACCCCCAAACAATACAGCCAAATAATTGCTGCTTTATATGTTTTCAATGAGAGAGCAACTGCTTTATCTCTGGATGCTTCTGATGAGATCTTTTGCACAGCCTGCAATGTGTTTCCCTCAAGACTGCCGTATTACAGACAGGTCTGTACCAGCAACACAGTGGGTTGGATCCAGACCAGTGTTCCCTCTAAGCTGAGTTACTGTGAGCTAGCTCACAGTTTTTTAGCCTCCAGCTCACACATTTTTGTCTCAGCTCAGGAAGGAGGGCTCTAGAGCAAACTAATGTATGCAGTAGCCAAATTGCTGGCTCACAACTTTCATGCCAGTAGCTCACAAAGTAGAATTTTTGCTCACAAGCCTCCCCAGCTTAGAGGGAACGTTGATCCAGACTACATTTTCCTTCATCAGAATGGAACTGTCTTGCCTGCTGCCTCCCACTGTAGCCCACAAGATTCTGTTCGGAGTGGGGGTGGGGAATTTGAGGAACAACGTGAGGGGGCTATGCAGTGGGAAGGGAGTATCAGTGGAAATTGCCAATTTAAACTGGGTCCAAACCCCATGGGTTGGTTCCTGTGTATACTAGCAGAGGTTGTGTCCTCGAGTGGAAGGGGCTGTCCCGTAATGGCAGGCACTTTTTCCAAGCATCTTGCATCAGCAGAAGGTTCCTTCTGCCAGATGACAGCACTTCTTCTGGTGGAACAGGTTCGTGGCATCCAATACATTTCCTTCTCATCTCCCCATTCTCCCATTTTTGTATTTAACACCTCACCTGGGGAAGACTTCTGTGAAACTTGCTATTCCCTGACTTTCAATTGGTCTTTATGAAGATAATACCACATTATTTATTTATTTATTTACTTTGTTTTGTATCCTCCCTCTCCCACTAATGTGGGGCTCAGAGCGGGTTGTTCCACCACATAATAAAAGAACATAATGTAGGATTGAGATATATCCGTTAAAAACAATTCCAACATTTACAATTCATAAGATGGCCCATACAATACTATACTGCTGCTCCAGGGGAAAAGAGGGGGAGGGAGAGGTAAGAAGGTCTATATGGATAGGAGTTCCTTGACCTCACCTGTATGCTTGGCGGTACATTTCCATTTTCCCGGCCCTGCAGAACTGTACCAAGTCCCGCAGGGTTCGGATCTCACTTGGAAGCGCACTCCACCAAGCTGGAGCCACAGCCAAGACGGCTCTGACTCTGGTTGAAGCCAAGTGAATACTCCTTGGTCTCAGGATCATCAGTGTGTTGCTATTCGAGGGGAATAATGCTCTTTGAGGGTAATGCCGGAGGGGCGGTCCGGCAGATATGCTGATTACTGCTTCTGTTGGGTGTGGGTTTTCCCCAGTGCTGTCATCGTAGCGGTCTGCATTTTCTTTTGTCAAACTGCTTCCTTATGCTTCCAGACATTGAGCAGCTCTCCTCCTGGGCCCTCCACACAGCTGCATTAAAAGTTTCTGTTTCCCATAAGGACCTTCGCAGTAACCTGTCCCTCCTCTTTCCTCACCAGGATTTCAGCTTCGCAAAGTAGAAGAGCAGCGTGAGCAAGAGAAGCGAGATATTGTGGGCAACGACGTAGCCACCATCCTTTCCCGCCGCATTGCAGTGGAGTACAGCGACTCGGAAGATGATTCTTCAGAGTTTGACGAAGATGAGTGGTCTGATTAACCACCCACCCACTGGATCCTCGTTTTAAAAACAAGAAGAAACAACCACCCTCACCCAGATTGCCAAAACTATCCTTGCTTTTCTCTCTCCTTCAGTAACCAAAGATTGCTATTCCAAGGGCTTCCAGTTAACCGGCTGCCTTCTTTCATTGCCAGGACTGCAATGTACCTTCTTTCCAGTTAAAGAGGGAAACAGAACTTAACACCAAAGCTCCAGATTCTCAGGGCTCTAGAACATAATCTATTTAAATATTTTGGGGTGCAAACTTGAAAATCGTAGTCCCCAAGGTAGTTGAGAAGCGTTCTTTCACATGACCGCCCATTTGAAGGGCACTAAATTTACAGGTAGCATTTTTCCTTTGCAGCACCCTGTCAGGCGTTAGAAAGGGAACTCAACAGCCATTGGGTGAGTGGATTATTTAACCACTCAAACTGGGAAATGCTGCAAGTAGACGGGCTTGATTTTCTGTTTTCTCTCCATTAACAATCTCTTAAAGGCTACATTCAGAAGTTTAAAATGGATGCTTGAGGGTTGTGTTCTGTACAGGATAGTTGGGACTTCTAAAGAAGCTGAATCCTCCTTCGTTGTTTGATGTAGTCCCCCAACACTATCTAAAGAGGAAGGATTAACCAAAGTGCACAGGATCCTACCAGCTTTTCCCGTTGTTGTTGCCCAGTTCTCCTCCTCACTATAGCCTCCTCCCATCCCATGCAGAGAGCCAGTATGGTGTAGTGGTTAAGAGCGCGGACTCTAATCTGGGAGAACCGGGTTTGATTCCCCTCTCCTCCACATGCAGCTGCTGGTATGACCTTGGGTTACTCATAAGTTCTTTCAGAGCTGTTCTCTCAAAGGCAGTTCTCAAGAGAACTCTCTCAGCCCCACTTACCTCACAGGGTGTCTGTTGTGGAGAGGGGAAGGGAAGGGGATTGTAAGCCACTCTGAAACTCCTTTGGGTAGAAGTATAAATCCAATCACTTCTTATTTTGTCTGTGTAAGGCAGCATAGCCTTTCCATTGGTCAAAAGGGGACCCCTCCTTGCTCTTTCGCTAGTGAAAAAGTTGGTAGGACACCCCCCCCCAAGCCTCATTGATCTTTATTTCTACATTGCCCAGTTCTTCGCGGTGTCATCTGAATTCAGAAATTGTTCGAGTTTCCACGCTCCAATTCAACAAGGTCCCAGAGGCACCGGGCATAGCCTTGTGGTGTTGTGTACTCTCTGGACCCTAAATGGAGAACTATGTGGCACCCTCTGGCACAGGGTGAGCCCAGTGGTAAATTAAAGCCGTTGGCTCAGACCACTGTTCCTCTCCAGACACCTCTTGGAGGCTTTGAGGACCAAATTGGCTGTTGGTAATAGACATCCAGTCTGCCTTTACTAGCTTGCTTTAACCCTTCCTTAATTAGTTCTGCCTTCTTCATTACCAGACCAAAAAGAAAAAACCATCCTCTTTCACAGCTTGAATTGCATGGGTGGTATGTCAACAGGGACTGATGGTGGCAAATGGCTTTGAATGCATGACGAAAAAACCTCTAGATAATTTAAAATGAATTAGGTTTTGCTTTAAGTCCAGAACAGCAGCATTAGATACAAATACCTCTCTCTAGTGAGGCCTTTTAAATGGTTCTTTTGGGCTTGCCTATCTAAGAACTGGGATGCAAGATATCCCAAGGGCACCTGGGGATCCTGCCTACTAGAATGATGCTAGATACTCTCCATAAATAAGGTCTGGTTCCGGGTGCCTTACCTCCCCTTTTGCTGATTTGAACTTCTTTACCTCGGTCTACATGACTTTTTTTTGCCATGATATTATTACATTTTTTTAAATCCTCAGAGTTTTAGATGCCAGAAATTCTTAATAGCCCAGATATTGTTGGTTTTGGCTAAGAGACCAGAGTGTCAAAGTGGGTGGGTGTTTGTTTTAGTCAACCCCCCCAGTGAAAGTAGTGGGGAAGAGCTCATTTGTAAACTTCACCAGAGAAGCCAATATTTTTCTCGGAATATTCTCATCTTAGCTGTAAAAAGCACTCCGATCTGCACAAAACGCCACACAAGATTTTTGAAAAAATTGGTTCTTTCCATCCTGCCCTGTTTTTAAAAGATCTGTTAAATGAAAGGAAGGTGCCGTGGAGGGTGCAGCGCCTTCTGTGATTTGGACCACAAGAGTTCACACTCAAGGCTCTGATTAGCAGCTTCCTGAGAGTAAAATGCAGTGACTTTTAAGTTTGTTTTGTTCTTGTAGCTCTCCCCAATCCAGGCCCTCAGGATCTATGTGACAAAACTGGCTGCTTTGCACTAGTGTTAACGATGATGGAATCGTGTCTGCCTGTGGGTTCTTGTCTAAAGGAACAAATAGTGCTTTGTGCAGACTAGTGCACACAAATGCGCTTGAGCCTTCCTTTTTGTTCCTGGGGACTGGAGTAGTTTAGTGTGCCGGAGATGTTGCCCCACCCCAGTGGTGTGCAGAATGGCTGCTTCAATCTGAGCTGATCACCAGCTGTTCAAAGCCAGGGTGTGAGGTGGTGTCCTCAAATGATACAGAATAAAAATATGAACTGTGCATGTTTGTAGATTAAATAGTAATAAAAAGCAGTCAGGGCACGTCTCTCCTCCTTTAAAATTTCCCTTTCTGCGTATTTTCTCTCCCCCCCCCCCCCCCCCCACGCTCCAATTCTCGACTCACTGTCTTTTGCTGGTTCTGAAACCTTTTTTCCTACAGTCACTAGCTTTTCTCACCTTCCCTTCTCCACCTCAGCTGATCAGATTCAGGGAGAGGAATCCTTCAGAGACCCCAAAGGCCACAAAGTGGTGTCCAACAACCTTTTGGTAGAAATGGGTATTGCTTTAAAATGTGCCTGCTTTGAACTCCATGCCTGGGGAAAGGAGGCTGTGTGTTTTAACAGGTTGCCATGCCTTCAGAGACTGTCATGCAATGCTGTCTTTGATTTTTTTTTCTATGCATCTTTTTTTCACCAAGTCTACTAGTGGACTTAGAGGAGTAGTGATTGGGGATCTGATTTTTTTATTTCAGCTCTTAACGTGATTCGTTTAATTGATTTAATATACTAACCAATGTTTTCCTTCCTGTCTAGAATGATAGGTGATTTTTGTAAGTGCCTTATTTCATATGACATAAATATATTTATGAGTAATTATTGCAAATGTATCGTACAGGATAAAGATCAAATGCTAACGGAAGCTTCCTTTTTAATCCCCCAAATGGCTGATTTACAGTGCCATCCTAAGCAAAGGTTCACCCTTCTAAGCCCATTGACTTCAGTGGATTCAGAAGGGTATAACTCTCCTTACTGTCTGGGGTGATATCATTAGAATAGACCCACCAGGTGAGCCTTGGTATGGGTGGGGAAAACAGTTATGGGTGGAGTTCCTTGAAGCTTAGTGGTGGTAAAGACTATTGGACCAAGAACCTGGTTCATACATGCTCCTTGCCAGTGCTGTGATCTCCCAGCCTGATTAGTTTGTTTTCACATATTTGCTGGTGATGAGGCACATGGTACTGTCTGCACATACAGTATTCTCAGAAACTGGCTGTCACTGTAGACTCAGACAGCATGAATTGGTCTTAAGGCTGCATCCAATAGTAAAAGGTTCCATTTTATTAATACTTGTTATAATTACCATTCCCTTGTTCAGCACCAAGGCCAGTAGCATGTATGTTTCTGTTCAACCTGGTTGCCTGGTGAGGAGTGAGCTTAATGTTATTGACCATCCATAAAGCCAGCCTCCTTCAGAATTTGGCAGCCTGTGTTCATATTTTTTAACATCTCTTGATAGTTGCAGTTTTTTAATTCAAATGCTTTTGTGGCTTTTGTAATCTCTTTGATCCGTCATTCTGTCTCTCTCTTTTACTCGAGGGACTGTTAGTAATGTATGTCTTTTTTTAAAAAAGGGGTCCTTTTTACTGTGTAAACTTCAAAGCAATCATAAATTCTTTCTAGCCAATCAACAGTTGTGTGTTTTACTTGGAAATTTGAGTGAGGGTGGCATAAAGTTGGGTAAAAGCAAAAGGTTCATCTTCGTCCTGCGTGGTTTCTTTGCCAAGGCTCAGGATTGGACTACTTCCCTAGTTCCTACAAACCTTTGTAACTTGAGTATTGCTTCCAAAAAATAGCCTGTTTCAGGCAAACTATTTGTAAGAACATAAGCATTATCTAGATGGATCAAACCAAAGGCACCCAGTTGCAGAGCTGGAAAAGCTACCAAAGAGGGTAGTCAAGATGATTAAGCGGTTGGAACACCTTTCCTAAAGATTGAAGAATCTGGGACTTTTTAGTTTAGAAAAGAGACAATGGGGGGTGGGGAGCAGTGATAGAGGTTTATAAAATTATGCATGGGACAGAGGGAGTGTACAGAAAGGAGAGATAATGAGGCTTTCCTGAATGAACAATGCAAAGTAATAGAGGAAAACAACAGAATGGGAAGGACTAGAGATCTCTTCAAGAAAATTCGAGAAATCAAAGGATCGTTCCATGCAAAGCTGGCCATGATAAAGGACAAAAACGGTAGGGACCTAGCAGAAGAGATTAGGAAAAGATGGCAAGAACACACAGAAGGACTATACAAGAAGGACCTCAATGTCCTTGACAACCACAATGGTGTAATCACTGACCTTGAGCCAGACATCCTGGAATGCGAAGTCAAATGGGCCTTAGAAAGCATTCTTAACAACAAAGCTAGTGGAGGTGATGGTATCCCAGCCGAGCTATTCAAAGTCTTAAAAGATGATGCTGTTAAAGTGCTGCACTCAATTTGCCAGCAAATTTGGAAAACACAACAGTGGCCACAGGATTGGAAAAGGTCAGTATACATTCCAATCCCAAAGAAGGGCAATGCCAAGGAATGTTCAAACTATCGCACAATTGCACTCATATCACACGCTAGCAAGGTCATGCTCAAGATCCTACAAGCTAGGCTTCAACAGTACATGGATAGAGAACTGCCAGAAGTACAAGCTGGGTTTCGAAGAGGTAGAGGAACGAGAGATCAAATTGCCAACATTCGCTGGATTATGGAGAAAGCAAGAGAGTACCAGAAAAACATCTACTTCTGCTTCATTGACTATGCTAAAGCCTTTGACTGTGTGGATCACAACAAACTATGGCAGGTCCTTAAAGAGATGGGAGTACCAGACCACCTCACATGTCTCTTGAGAAACCTGTATAAGGGCCAAGAAGCGACAGTTAGAACCGGATACGGAACAACTGATTGGTTCAGCATAGGAAAAGGCGCAAAAGTTGGCTTGAAACTCAACATCAAAAAAACTAAGATCATGGCATCCGGCCCCATCACTCCTTGGCAAATAGAAGGAGAAGTCGTAGAAACAGTGACAGACTTCACGTTCCTGGGATCCAAGATCACTGCATATGGTGACTGCAGCCATGAAATTAAAAGATGCCTGCTCCTTGGGAGGAAAGCGATGACAAACTTTAACAGCATAATAAAAACTAGAGACATCACCCTGCCAACAAAAGTCCTTTGGTCAAAGAAATGGTGTTTCAGTAGTAATGTATGGCTGCGAGAGTTGGCCAAAGAATAGATGCTTTTGAACTATGGTGCTGGACAAGACACTTGAGAGTCCCTTGGACTGCAAGGAGATCAAATAAGTCAATCCTAAAGGAAATCAACCCTGACTGTTCCCTGGAAGGACAAATACTGAGGTTGAAGCTCAAATACTTTGGCCACCAAATGAGAAGGAAGCACTCACTGGAGAAGACCCTGCTGCTGGGAAAGATTGAAGATCAAAGAAGAAGGGG